CGATTTAGTAGGCTAAGCAATGTTTTGCTGGATATGTGTGTCCAAGTCCTGGCGATTTTTGAAAGCAGAATGAGAAAGCAGGTTGTTAGCCTCAAGCAAGTGTAATCGTTCAGATAACAATTTATAAAAGCGCGTTTGGGTGAATCAACAAAAGTCATGGCGCTAGCTATACTTCCTACAGCTTATAGTTTCAAAGGCCAAGTGAGCGTTGTTTAGCAGAATGCAAAGTGATATATATTAGGGACTTAGTTCACTAAGAGCTACCTCTAAGCCTAACGTTCTAGAACCTTCTAGAACCTACAGTGACGTCATCGAGTGACGTCATTGCCGCTGTCGGACAACCGCCGCCGGATATTCGCCGTCGGACAAGTATACCGGTAACTACCGGTATACCAACTTACCCATATCGACAGAAGACTTACCGCGGACGATCTTCGACAACCGGTACCTTACCGGTATATCAGTACCTAAGCAGATAAACCTGCCGACTTGACAGCACCTCTTGCTGGTCGAGTCGCTTCCTGAACAGTCTCTTCGACAACACTCCCACTCGACTCGACAGCTCTTGATTCTTTGATACCGAGCTTGCTCCGAAGTGTGCAGAATTGCGTCGCTGGAATCGGCTTCGTCATGATGTCAGCCAGCATGTCTTGTGTCGGGCAGTACTCCAATGCAACTTGACCATCTTCGACTTTCTCACGAACAAAGTGGTAGCGGATGTCGATGTGCTTGGTCCGCTTGTGGAACTCGGGGTTCTTGGCCAATGCAATCGCGCCTTGATTGTCTTCATACACTGTTACAGCATCATTGCCCGTAACTTCACCGAGCTCACTCATGAACGCCTTGAGCCACACTGCTTCTTGGGTCGCTTCTGACAAAGCCATGTACTCAGCTTCAGTTGACGAGAGGGCTACAGTGCGCTGCTTCTTGCTGCGCCAGCTGATGCAGCCATTGTTGAGCATGAACACATACCCGCTGGTACTTCGCCGAGACTCGATGTCGCCTGCCCAGTCAGCGTCTGAATAGCCGACGAGATCACCATCACTGGATCCAGCAAAACGAATGCCGTGTGTCGGTGTAGCTTGCAGATACCGCAATACACGCTTGAGTGCTTGCCAGTGTGTCGGACAGGGATCGGCGGCGAACTGACTTAGTGCACCTACAGCTGCAGCAAGATCTGAACGTGTGCCGACCATCAGTTACATCAACTCGCCAGCTGCACTGCGGTATGGTACGCCCTTCATGGTTTCATCGTGTTTGCAGACGCCTTCACACATGCTCTTCATCAGCTTCAATCCTGGGTCTTGTGGCGTCTTCACGGGCTTGCAGTCTTGCATGCCAAACTTGGTCAATATGGACTTCAGGAACTTGGTCTGCCGCATTGACACGTCACTCGACTTGTCATCATGCTCGACTTCCATACCAAGACAGTACTTGAGCTCACCAAGGTCGGACATCTCAAAGCGCTCATTCAACGCACTCTTGGTCGCCGCGAGTAGACTCATGTCGTTACACGCAAGAATGAGGTCGTCAACGTAGATCACCATAAACATCATGGCCGATCCGTCCCGCTTATAATAGACACAGTGGTCCATCTCGCATTTGGTGAAACCAATCTTGAGCATGAAGTCATCAATTGTCTGGTTCCACATGCGAGGCGATTGCTTGAGACCGTACAGTGCACGCTTCAGCTTGCACACATGATCAGGGTAGGTGGAGTCGATGAAGCCCTCGGGTTGCTTCATGTAGATCTCTTCGTCCAAAATACTGTTGAGGAAAGCAGTCTTGACATCCATCTGATGTAGCACGAGCTGGTACTGTGCCGCGAGACTCAGGATGATCCGTATCGATGTGAACTTGGCCACTGGTGCAAACGTTTCTTCGAAGTCGACTCCATATTTCTGCAGAAAACCCTTGGCCACAAGGCGTGCCTTGTATCGCTCGACAAAACCTTCGACTGTTTCCTTCAACTTGAACACCCACTTGCTGCTGATGGCTTTCCGTCCACACGGCAATGGGACAAGCTCCCACGTTTCATTCTTGTTTAGCGACTCGAACTCGGAGTCGCACGCTTCCCGCCACTTGCTTGCATCATCGGATTCCATAGCCGACTTGAACGTGGTCGGCATTTCCCCCACTGAATCCATGATGTAAGCTGCTTCGTAGCTTGGACATTCTTGAGCTGTTGCTGACATCTCTTCCAGACCTTGATGCCGCTTGGCTCTTGGAACTTGTGCAGCTTTCTCCAACGACTGCGTTCGTTGATGTCTCTTGCTGCCGGAATCCATGTCTTCATCCCGCGCAGTTTCTTCTTCTTTTTCTTCTTTTCTTGCTGTGAATCTTCATCCGTAGCTTCTTCATCGTCTTGAAGGTCAATAGGAGCTTCTTCGGGTGCGTCATTATGTTTCCCTCCGTCGAAAACATTCTCCATGAATTGTGCATCACGGCTCACCAGTACACGACCACTGTCCAGCTCTTCGAATCGATACGCTTTTTCATGATCTGAGTACCCGATAAAGCGACAGCGTACCGACCGAGCATCAAACTTGGTGCGTTTTTCCTTGGGAACCGTGACATACGCGTGGCATCCAAACACCTTCAGGTTTCCCAACAGCGGCTTTTTGCCAGTCCAAATTTGGTGCGGCGACTTGTCGAGGCTGATTGCGCGTGAGGGACATCGATTGCGAAGAAACATGGCAGTCATGACTGCTTCGCCCCAGTATTCCTTCGACAGTCCGGCATGCTCCATCATGCAGCGCGCGCATTCAACAAGCGTCCGGTTCATCCGTTCAGCAACTCCATTGAGCTGAGGAGTGTAAGGTGGTGTAAACTTCTGCATAATTCCACGAGAGCTGCAAAACTTTGCCATTGCTTGCGAAGTGTACTCACCACCATTATCACTGCGGAGTGTCTTCACTCGCTTGCCCGTTTGCGTCTCAGCAAGTGCCACAAAGTCAACAAACTTGGAAGCTACTTCCGACTTGTTTCGGAGCAAGTACACCATACAGAAGTGTGACTTGTCGTCGATAAACGTGACAAAGTAGCGTTTTCCACTGAATGTCGCCGTGTGCATAGGACCACACACATCGCTGTGGATGACCTCAAGTACTTGCTTTGCACGATTTGGTGACGACTTTGCGTAGCTGAGTCGCGTTTGCTTACCAAGCGAGCACCCGTCACACGTCCCCCACGGCTTCACTGACTTCAAGTTGATGCCAACACCATGGTTTTTCTTGACGATTGCATCAAGACCGCCATGACCAATATGACCAAGTCGAAGGTGCCAGAGGTACGAAGTGGTGTCCCCATGGCATCCCATCGAAATAGTCACATTTGCCTCATTCACTGACATCGGTGTCATGCAGAGCTTGAACAGACCTTTGCCTTCGCGAGCTCCAATCTTCCACTTCAAACCGTTCGTTTCAGCATAGCAACCCTCGCTTTCAAAGGTCACGGCGCCGACATCCTTGGTAAATCGACCAACCGAAAACAGGTTTCGCGATAGCTTGGGGATATGCCACACGCCAGTGAGCACACCCTTCTTGATTCCACGCGGAGTCTTCATTGACATCACAATGTCTCCAGTCCCGATAGCTTGCACCACCCCATCGTCCGCGAGATGTACGTCCACCGGAGAGATTTCCTTGTAGTTTTTCATGAACTTCTTGGTACTTGTCATGTGCTGCGTCGCTCCAGAGTCGATCAGCCACACGTCACTTGATTTGGAGATGCTGTCTCCAACCAAAAACAGGAACTCGCCAGTGTCATCTTCGACCTGCGCGATGTTCGCTCGCTGCGGCCTTTGCCGCTCCGTATTCCCACGGATACGCACCGGACACTTGGCGATCCAATGTCCGTGCTCCCCACAGTAGTGGCAGACCCCACCAGTCTTTGGTACCTGCCGTCCTTTGCGTCTGCCGCTGTCGTTTGCCATGAACGCTTGACCTTGTGCGGCGTTGTCGAACCTGCTACCTTGTTCCTTGCGCTTCATGTCTTCGTGCAGTAGTCGAGACGTCACCAGCTCCCACGTTAGCGTGTCCGCACGTGACTCCAACGCCGTGATCAAAAACTGGTACGTGTCGCCAAGACTCCCAAGAAGCGTGATCACTAAGTCGTTCTCGCTAACCGGAGCACCCACAGCGTCGAGCTGTTCCGCTAGCGTCTTGATCTTGTTGATGTGTTGGAGAACATCATCACCTTCTTCCATCCTGGTCGTAAAGAAACGACGACGAAGAAAGAGCTTGTTCGCCAGGCTCCTCGTCTCGAAGTGTCCCTCCAACCGCGACCAAGCATCATGCGCGCCACTTGACGATCGAACCAGTGGCAGCTGCGAATCCTCCATCGCCAGACAGATGATCGCTAGTGCCTTCCGAGACTTGCGCTTGTAGGTCCCTTGGTCCAGCGGGCTTGTCAGGTGTTCAAGCTTGATTTCACCACTTGTCACGTCCCAGAGGTCCCTCTCTTCCAGCACCATTTGCATCTTGAACTTCCACGTATGGAAGTTCGTGCCGTCGAACTTGTTAATACGGCTCGATGCTTGGGCGTCCATGGTGGCAGCGAAGGCAGAGGCTGAGGCGGAGAAGGCGGAGGTTGCGGCGGGGAAGGCGGAGTCAGCGGGGCTTGGGCTCATAACCTAAAGTTTCAAAGGCCAAGTGAGCGTTGTTTAGCAGAATGCAAAGTGATATATATTAGGGACTTAGTTCACTAAGAGCTACCTCTAAGCCTAACGTTCTAGAACCTTCTAGAACCTACAAGTGACGTCATCGAGTGACGTCATTGCCGCCGTCGGACAACCGCAGCCGGATATACGCCGTCGGACAAGTATACCGGTAACTACCGGTATACCAACTTACCCATATCGACAGAAGACTTACCGCGGACGATCTTCGACAACCGGTGCCTTACCGGTAGATCAGTACCTAAGCAGATAAACCTGCCGACTTGACAGCACCTCTTGCTGGTCGAGTCGCTTCCTGAACAGTCTCTTCGACAACAGCAGCATGCCTCACCATGCCAAGTTGGATAAGTGCTACTGGGCTGAAGCAGCAATGACGGGCCATCTACGTCAAGAATCGCCTACGTTCATCTAAAGTTGTGCACAAGACCCCGTTTGAGATCGTGTACAACTCCAAGCCAAGTGTCAAGCATATGCGAGTATTTGGCTGTCAGACATTATACTGACTCTGAAAGAGAAGCGACTCAAGTGGGATCTCAAGGCTCGCGCTGGAATCTTTTCGAGCTACGAAGAAGTGTCCAAGGCATATCGTGTATTTGACATCGAGGAGGGGCGGGTTGTTGTCAGTCGGGATGTTAACTTCGACGAGTCAAGTTTTGGACTTTCGCCACCAGTTGAAGATGACGTCGTCGATGACTTGGATTTCGACTCGCTTGGTCTTGATGATGAAGGTTTGCGTCAAATGGAGTATCAGCAAACTGTCAAGCGCACGAATTGTTCCAGCGATGAAGATGCGGCTGATCGGCCACCACGTACTGTACGTCAACGGCCTGGATTGGACATATCCAGTGAACCAAAGAACGATTCACCACGCCAAGAAGAAGAAGATGACGAAGGAATCGGACAAATCGACTCCGCCTGTGTTTTGCGTGCGAGTGCAAATGCTGTTGAAGCAGCAGTGGAATTGTCGGAACCGTCGACATTTGAAGCAGCAGTGACCGGCCCGGATCAAGTGCACTGGCGTAAGGCAACTCATGCGGAGCTCGAGTCAATGCAACTTCGTGGAGGTCGTGGGGTGTTTGTCGTGCAGCCAAGTTGCCCAATGGACAACGTGCCAATGGTACCAAGTGGGTCTTCAAGATCAAACGCAAAGCAGACGAATCCATCGAGAAGTACAAGGCACGTCTCGCGGCAAAGGGCTTTTGCTTCGAAGTATAGAATCGACTACCGACCGAGACGTTTTCGCCCGTGGTCAAGTATGTGACCTTACGCATAGTCATTGCGGTTGCCAAGCACTTTGGATGGACACTTGACCAACTTGATGTGGTGACTGCCTTTCTTTATGGTGTGATGAAGGAGCAAGTGTTTTGCGTGATTCCTGAAGGTGGTGAGTTGGATGGTGATTTTGACTGTCTCCAATTGGTAAAGGCAATTTACGGCCTGAAGCAAGCTTTGCGAGTATGGAACGAAGACTTTTGGCGAGTGTGTGTTCCATTGGATTTCAAGTGTCAGGCTTCGACCCATGTCTCTACATCAAGATTATGGAAGACCAGCGCGTATTAATTTTGGTCTATGTGGATGACGTGTTGGTGACAGGAAGCTCACCCAAGTTGATTGCACACACCAAAAAAAAAATCCCTTTTTTTTGTCCGGTTTGGAGTGACGTATGGAAGGACCTGAAGACACGCTTCGAGATGACTGATAGCGGCAAGTGTGCATTTGTTCTTGGAATTGAGCTTTTGAATGCAGAAGATGGAAGCGTTACATTGTGTCAGCGCAGGTATGTGGATGACCTACTCAAGAGATTTAGCATGAGCGATTGCAAGGCTGTGTCAAGTCCAGTGGACATGAGCTCTTGACTCGTTTCAAGCAATGCAGCTACCAAGGCCAATGTTCCGTTCCGTGAAGCAGTTGGTGCTTTGATGCATCTGACTACTGCGACGCGCCCGGACATTGCATATGCTGTGGGCTATGGTGTCGCGGTTCATGGAGAATCCTCAAGACGATCACTGGATTGCAGTCAAGCGCATATTTCGCTATCTACAAGGCACTAAGACGCATGGAATATGCTACAAGCCTGGTGACAAGATCGACTTTCGTGGATATTCGGATGCAGAATGGGCTGGCGACATCGCTGACCGCAAGCCAACTTCCGGATACACGTTCATGCTATTGGGTGCGCCAGTGAGCTGGGGAAGCAAGAAACAACCAAGTGTTTCGCTGTCAACGAGTGAAGCAAAACACATTGCGCTCAGTTTGGCAATCCAAGAAGGCAAGTGGATTCATCGTTTGCTGTGTGAGATCATGACAGCTGCCAACAAGGACGGACCCGAGCTGATGATCTTTGAAGACAATCAATCGTGCATCAAGATGACGATAATCCTGTCAACCATGGCCGTGCCAAGCACATCGACATCAAGTACCATCACATCCGTGATGAGGTCAAGCGCGGCCAAGTCAAGCTCAAGTACTGTGAGACTACGGTGATGTTAGCAGACATCATGACCAAGGCACTTCACGGACCGCGTCACAAGGAGCTGACAGAGGCGCTTGGCATCCGCACGTGTTCGCATTGAGAGGAGGGGGGGCATTGAGGGTAACCGGTATGCCGACGGCCTTTGACCGTGACCCAGGTAACCCCGAACCGGCCCAATGCGGTTCACGATTATGGTAAGGATTATGCCATGGAGTGCAGAGTGATGGTGATTAGACGAGTAGGTTGATAGGAAGATCTACATGATTTATATGTGAGCTACATAGAAATCAGGGCGTGAACAGTCGCCTGATTTATAGGTGGACTACATATAAATCAGGGCTGTAGTTAGAATAACCTCCGACTAAATCAATCACTTTCGAATCTTACCAACTCCAGCGCAAGTCGTCTTCACTCTTCGTGTGCAGACTCCTTCGCCTTCCTCCAAGCCTCGCAAGACCAAGCCTCATACCTTCCATCATTCGTCACTAACCAATATTTAGTCCAAATACTAGCCTAAGGTACAGTCACTACCTATGGCTAACTTAGCAAATTTAAACTACCCAATGTCCAATTATTATAAAGCTATCATCTTGTTTATATGTATGACAAGATTAACGCCACGCGTCGCCTCAAAAGAGATTGTGGTGAAATGGGTTCTCAAAACTGCGTGATGAGACCCCAAGCCACTCACTGTGCCGGACTGCCGACTGTCGGAAGGGGTACCCCGATGCCGCGTATAGACCTTCTCTACCTTGTGTACCCGTCGGCTGGCGGGTTGTTTCGGAGGACTTGATTAAGACAGATGTCGGCTTGAGGGTGAGTTGGGGTGTCGAGGAATAATCATTAGGTGGGGGTGGGTGGCCACTCGGTTGACTAGGTCGAGGGTGGACTTAAACAAATCGGGGAGAGGGTTTTCCTGATATCAAGTGATAAGTGGTTAATCCGGAACTAGGGTAGGAAGACGCTTGATAGGGGTTAATGGGGGATGTATCAGACAAAAGCAAATAAGGGGTTTATTGATTGGGTTAACACATATGTTGAGGGGGCCATAAATTATCTTCGGAAAGGTGGGTAGACTTAGTAAGACTGGAAAGACGGAAGGTTAGTAATCGCAAATTGAGTAGTATTTAATAGTCTACTTTAACTTAATTAATCTATCTTAGAAACTGATTCTTAAGCTTGGCTAGAGTATTTGGACTCGAGAGGAAATCGAGAGTGGCGAAAGCTATCGATAAGAAAGGTAGAGAAGAAAAGGAATGGAGAAGGGGCCGAGAGTATGAGAAGATAAAGTTATGACGAAGGAGAGGCTATTGAAAGGGACAAGGTAGATCAGGACTAGGGTCGAGGGTCTTATCGAAAAGATTAGATTGTTTGATGAAAGAGAGGTTACTATGATAGAAGGGTGAATTAAGGATGGGGTCACTTGAGGAAGGGTCTATGAGTAAGGGTTATTCTGAATGGCAGTAGTTATAGTTGAGAATTATTATCAAGGTGTTCCGTCCATTTTTTAGGATGTTCTTGTCCCTACCAACGTGTTTCTTGGAGGGTGTCTTTCTTGACCAGGTCTCTGACTACCAAGTTACAGTTAACAAGAAGAATTAAAAGGTGTATTGGTACATTTAAAGAAATTGATGGGTTAGGGTGGATGGGTTCTTCAAGGTGGAGTGGTTCTCAAGGTGGACGATCCTTAATGGTCGACCTGGTCTATCATAGGTAGATAGTCTTCATGAAAGAGATCTAGATCTTTGGTCGATAGATGATAGTGCTGGAGGTTACTTGGTCCCTTGTAATAGGTGGTCCTTGTCGATAGACTTTGGATCTTGGTCGATGGATTGGCGTTTGAAGGTTGCCTTGGTTTTTATCGATGGATTGGTCCTTAGTCGATAGATTGGAGGTCTCGAATGTTGACTGGGAGAGGTAAATAAGAAGGGAATAAGAAGGGTGGGGTAAAGATAGATTAATTAAGTTAAAAGATAGGACTATTAGATAACAATTGGATTAATAGACGTTGTGTGTTAAGGTATATAAGTTAATGTTGGGAAGGGATAAATTTATGGCCGTCGAAGAAGTTGTGTGGTAAGAAAGTGCGAATAGAGCAGGATATATTTGGCATGGGGTTTGTCGAGTAGATAGATTAATGTATCGGAAGGGTTTCTATAGTGGTGGGAGAAGTTAAGACAGGGGTTATATGAGATAAGGAAGAAAAAGGAGGGTGAGTATTTGAAGAATTTAGTTATAAGTATCGATAGTCAAGAGTGGAAGTATAAGAGTATATATGAGAATCGACCTAGAGACGAACTTGTCTTGGAGACGTGGCACCGAGCACTAAGATGGGGCTCGGACGAAAGTCGGTACTGGGAGATCCATGTGTAAGTGTAGTCGGAGACCCTCACGGCTTCCAGCAGGTCGGCGGAATCCAAACCTTCCTCACACCCTGGAAACCAGTACACTACACAGCGAGGTCGGGGAAGGTGCCGGAAGAAGGGGTCTAGCAGGATGTCGATGTCGCACTGACCATCGCTCATCCCCTTAAGAGTAGGTCGACGACCCCTCGCCACGCCCGACTCGCACGACCCCGTCGTTTCTTCCGGGCGTTGTAATTTGACGAGAGAAAAGATCTGGAGTGCGCGCTTGGTCCTTGAAGATCCACAAGCAGTGGGTGGTCTCCCCAGATCGCCTGGCTGTGGTCTTTGTCAAAGCGCAAGTAAGTCGCCTCCAGTTCCGCAAACCAGATCACGGGTTGGATGGATACGGGGGGGGGTCGATACTCGAGCTGACACCATGGGCGGGCGGCCAAGAGGTTCTGAAGCATCGAAGAGTTGACCAACGACGACTTCCGAAGGGACGATCAACCTCTCCGTCTGGTGGACCAAATAAGCCCCAAGGCAACTCCAGGCGGTCGACCAAGCTGCTGGGGGTCATCATCACGACACTCAGCAAGCTGACAATGTCGAGTGACCAAGATGCCACCTCCGCTGCAGTGAACGACTTCACCTGCATGTACCTTCGGATGAAGTCACACTTCAAAAGTTTAGGTGACTTCCCTGGGGAGGAGCCCGGCTTGGTGACAGGGCAGGAGCCTTCTCTATCGGGACCGACTCGACCTCGGAGTCCGAAGATTCCAACATGGCGCGGAATAACTCTGGATTTGGGTGAGCGACCGGTCAGAGTCAGCCGAGACAGCTAAGAGAGGCGGGTCGGTAGGCGTGATACAACGCCAGGACGACCGCAACCGAGCCAAGGTCGCCCGGACCACCTCGCTGTCGTCACTTGCGGTGTCATCATCCGGGTCTGGAGGGGGTACCAAGGTAGACCTTGAGGGGTTCCCGACTTGGGCGCCGACGTAGTGGGAGTGCTGGGGGTATTGGACTTGGCGGCCTTGGGGACCTTAGCGGTCGTCTTGGCCGGTGGACGCCGAGGTCGCTTACCCGTCACTGAGGTGGGAGGTACTGCGGAGCAGTCACGGGAGGAGCTACGAGATCCTTGAATGGATTCGTGGGGCGATCTTCGTGCTCCAACTCCGCCATCAGGAGAGCGTAGCGGCTCTGGCGGTAGTCCATCCGCCACCGCAAATGCCGTGTCAGCCCTCTCTCGTGCTGGACCCCCTCTCGCAGCTAGACCACGAGGTGGTTGGTGTCTTGTAGCTCGCTTTCGAGGAGCTTACACCGGTGGTCCAGTAGGCGTCGGGGGAGAGGACGGCGGTAGGTCAACCTTCTAACGCCTCAAGTCTTTGGCTATACGCGTCTAGACGGTCTTGTAGGTCGCGCAGCATCTGAGGTATGTCTACGGGACCACCCATTGCAGATGGAGGAGCACTCGACGGAACAACGGGCGAGACATAGGTGACCGTTCCCACGAGGCCACCACAGCAGAGGAGCTAGAGGTCGACTGAGGGTCATCCACGTCTGCAGGTAAGGTAGCCTTGAGGGTGGTCCTAGTATCCCAACCATGGACCAGATAGAACGGCGTCTCCTTCCGGACTCGGTCTTGCGCGGTTTTCATCGCAAACGTTAGTCGTTCTGCATACTCGTCCCAATCTTGCTGTCTGACATCCGAGACATACATCTCAATGGACCTAGTCAGGGTCTGAACCATCCTCTCCGCGGTAACGTTTGCCTGAGTTTGATAGGCCATGGTATCCTGTTGACGCTGGCCCACCATGCGACTAAACTCCCGAAAGAAATCCGACAAAAATCCTGGTTCTCGATCGTGGCGGATTGCCTCGCTAGCAACAAAACGGCACAATACGCATTCTTCGTACCCTTCAGCTACCGTCTGGGCCGTTCGCGACGCACTAGCCTTGGCCATCACGTACCCTGTGAACAGGTCGACCCAAATAAGTAACTCGGTATTTCCTCTATGCGACCTGGGCAGAGAGGGAATTAGATCCATCGCTATAATCTGGAAAGTTTATATTGCTTTGACATTTCCTGGACTCTTGCCCTGCAGAGTAGATCCTCTTTTCCCAGACTCGCAATCCACATATGTCTTCACATACCTCTTTACGCTTTGGAGTAAAACCTCTCCAATGGCAGTACCGTCGGATTCGGTGATAGGTACGTCCAAACCCTTGGTGACCTCCTTCCAGACTGGTGTGTTAGTGATGCAGTACGTCAGCTTTGAGACTTTCTGGTATCACTAGTATGGCCGTTACTTCTCGGTCGTCTCCTTCGGCCCTCTGACCGGGACAATACAATAGTAGCCCGTCTTCGCCTATCTTGTAGTCCCTGGCCATCGTACTGCATGAGTGAGCGGACTCCATGGACAGGTCGACCTAATCTCCCTTCAAGTAGGCCTTCAAGTCTCGCACCCAGTCTTCTTGCTCTTGTGCCTCCTTGATTCAATCTTTCCGGAGTCGTTGTATCACACCCTCTTGCAGAATTTCCTCTGACATCTTGATGGGAGGTCGAGATCGAGTAATCGCAAGTACCTTGGCCGATGAACTTTGGTACTTGGGAGCTAGTAAATCTGGCAATCGATTAATCGCTTCCAAATTTGGCCATTCTCCTTCCGGTATCGGATTCATACCTTCCTTCTGACGCAGAGCTGTGCTGGCCAATTGGTCGGAACTGTGATTTCAATCACGTTTTACGTGCACGA